AGGTAATATACACTTCCTTTCTTTATTTTATTCTTTCGTTCTTTCTTTCTTTCTTTCTCATTTTTCCCTTCGTTCAGATAACATTCACTTTCTTTCTTCTGTTTTGTCAGTCTTTTTTTTATTTATTTATTTCTCATTTTCCTTCGTCTCGGCAAAACACACTTTCTATCTCATTCTCCTTCATTCAGGAAAATATTGACTTTCTTTCTTTCTTCATTTTTCTCCTTCGTTAATGTAACATACACTTTCTTTCTTTCTTTCTTTCTTTCTTATTCCTCTTTGTCCAGGCAATATTCACTTTCTTTCTTTTGTTCATTCTTTCTTGTGCCGGTTATGTCGGTGGGAGAGTGACTGAAAAGTAGATGCCAAATATTGCGGATTCTTCTTTGGATTCTATCAAGAATTTTTAACCACAGACCAGAGGCACTAAAGCAGCATTCTTCAAGGCATGGATCAATATTATACCTCTAATTGAAAGAGCTAGATTTAATTTCGATTATCTACAGTGGTTATGGTTAAAGTACGGCCCGAGTGTCAGATGCGGCCCAATTAGCTTTTCTGAATGGCACGCCTAATTTTATGAGGAAAATAATGTTTATTAAAATGTTGCTTCCTCTAGTATATTTAGCTACCCCCACCCACGAGGGTTACATGTGGCACAAGGCCGATTTAACGTGAGTCCTCCCTGCTCGTCGGTTCGGCCAAGGAAGCAAGATATATAATCCGGTGTTCTTATAGATATTTTTATTTTTACAAAATAGTACTCAATGTAAATTTACAGAGCATTAATATTAGAATATATGGTTAGAACTGTGTAGCGAAAAAAACATATTTTAAATCAATTAATTTATAATATATATATATATATATATATATAGTTTTTAAGGTGTTCTATATTTATGAGATAAAGTGATCAATATCAGAGATAGAGCGTTGTGTAAATATAAAATGAACATTGAAGTCAACCCTCAGAGTTGCTTTCATGCTAGACGCAATATGTATGTATATTAAGTCATGACTCATTAAATAATTTAGACAAGTTTTTCATACTTATTTTTAATAGGATCCTATCATTTTTACGAACAAGTTTCTCAATATGCTTATTAGTGGAAGAAAGAAAATTACTATGTTTATGCATATTCATTTTATTCCGAGTACTTTCAACATTAGCACAATGTCGTCATCAGGGTCTCGTTTTTTCTAAGACAAGAAATTGTTGTGTTCATCATTTTCCTAAGACAATATTGTTGTGTTCACCTGGAAATTTAATTTTTATGCCTAAAGCAAAACACGCTAAAGTTATGTATTGTTCAATTTTTAAATGTTATCATGTAGACACACATGCAAATGTCAACGGAGGTTACTAAGTCCTTCAAATGTCTAAATCTTTTTTTAAAGAGAAACTATTATTTAAAACCTAGAAATTTTAAATCTTACTTATTATAAAACGCAGATTGTGTGTGTGTGTGTCTGTACGTTTATATATTGGATCGGATTTCCTACATTTTTCAACCGATTTCAACAAAACTTCACAGAACTGCGTAAAATTTTTTGCGGTGGTTCTGACAGCGCCAAAAATTGGAAAAACACAATTGTTTTTGCATGAAATCAATTTGAAAACACGATAAAACACGCTAGAATGAAAGGGGGACCACTCATATCGAGTTATACTTATTATAAAACCCAGGTTGTTTGTGTGTGTTCGTTTATATATGGGATCGGATTTCCTACATTTTTCAACCGATTTCACACAAAACTTTTTTTTGGCAGGTAGTGTTTCTTACAAGCGCGATATTAGTGAAGTTTGGAAACTGGAACAGTTTGCGGTGCAAGAACTCCATGATTCCATGCTAAACATCCTTTTATGAATCTCACAGATATTAGGTTGCGGAATGTCGAAGGAAGACATGTCTCAAAGATGATATTGGCTAGGATAAATTATGGAAGTAAACTTTGGTGAAAAATGAAAGTATTTAAAGAAAGTTAACATGAAAAATAAAATTATCATTTTCTTGCTCACATGTCATCGAACATTCGAACGCTTTTTTATGCTAAATTCTTTCAGGAAGTCCAAATTAATGATTGTGGGTCTACATAAATTCGTGATTGTATGTCTACCCAAATTTGTGACTGCGTCTATCCAAATTGCTCACTGTAGTTCTGCCCAAATTCGGGATCTTCGGTCTATCCAAATTCGTGATCGTGGGTCGATACAAATTCGTGACTGTGGGTCTATCCAGTTTCGTGAATGTAGGCCTGCCCAAATTCGTGACTGCTGGTCTACCCAGATTTGTGACTATGGGTGTACCTAAATTCGTGTTTGCGGGTCTATTCAAATTCGTGAATGTAGGTCTATCCAAATTCGTGACTGTGGGTCTACCGAAATTCGTGTTTGCGGGTTTACCTAAATTCTTGACTGTAGGTCTACACAAATTCGTGTTTGTGCGTCTACCCAAATTCGTGACTGTGGGTCTACCCAATTTCGTGTTTGTGGGTCTACCCAAATTCTTGACTGTATGTTTACCCAGATTCGTGTTTGTGGATCTACCTAAATTCTTGACTGTGGGTCTACCCAATTTCGTGTTTGTGGGTCTACCCAAATTCGTGACTGTGAGTCTACCCAAATTCGTGTCTATATGTCTACCCAAATTCGTGACTGTGAGTCTACCCAAATTCGTGTCTATATGTCTACCCAAATTCGTGACTGTGAGTCTACCCAAATTCGTGACTATATGTCTACCCAAATTCGTGACTGTGGGTATACCCAAATCCCCTTCTTTTATCGACCTCTCTAATTATTGACTCATATTCATATATTCGTTAACACACACTCTTTCCATGATATGCTGAACATTCTCCGATAGATCGAGATCTCTGTCAGTTTAAGTCACTTCTTTATCTGCGAGGAAACTGCCTATCATTTACTGACAGATAAATGATTAAATAGATTAGAGCAAAGAGATTACATATTGCATAGCAACTTGACATACTTATTTCTAATCATATTTTCATATCTCTTAATATATTGATTTTTTTAATCCTTTCATACCAAGCAAGGTAATAAAGGCATTAAGACATAAGGGGGTCACTGAGTGTGAAAAAAAAAAGAAGAAAAACAAAAACATTAAGGAGGGAGAAGAATAAAAGAAGAGAAATCAAGAAGACAGAAGATAATGATTGACATTGCATTTACATTTTTGACGATCAACTTTGACTGAAAAATGTTAGAGAGTATGTGAGAAAAAAAAGTAAATTATTATTAAGGAGAGAAAATAATAAAAGAAGAAGAATTAAGAAGACAGTAGATAATGACTGACATTGCTTTTAAATTTTTGAAGATCAAATTTGACTAGGAAATGTTAGAGAGTATGTGTTGTGGTACGATCCACCTAATTTACATAGTGGAGTACCGACCATATAAATATGGGTTGGTACAGGGAAGACGAGGGAAGAAGTAAGAAGAGATCCAATCCAGAGACTCTGCCCGACTGCGATTAAGTCAACCCATTTTGCAGGAACAGTCTTCCCAAGAATATACCAAAACTAACTGTAAATATTGTGTACCTTTTCCTTGTTTCAATACATTTTGTTTACGTACATTTTGTGTTGTATTATTATTATTCCATGCTTATCCAAGCTTCAACAGTATTTTAAAAAACATTGGCGATTGTCACTAAGGAAGATCATACATGTAAAGATCTTTTGTTTTAGAAACAGGAAACGTCAATGATAATTATTTTTCTTTTACAAACGTTTTTGTATATTCAAATGAATAAATTAAAAGCAGATCCCATCCAGCAATGGGTGTTAATCACGCTGTCATCAGTGATAAAGAATTTTCCAATAACTTGGACCGATTTTAATGTGAATTAAGTTTAAGCGTCTAATGAGATTTTTTGTTTTTTTTTATCTTCAGATTTGGCCGACATTTGGGCGATATTATTTTTCGCACATAATAGCCATGACTTAAGTAACATGAACCAATAAAGAAATAAATACACTTTCACCGATAACACTGATTTATTTACTGGTGACTTTGATCCGTTTTAATGAAACACCCTTATATATAATCCGTCTTAATGAAACACCCTTTATTATACCAACATTTAATTTTGTTTTTTTTTTAATTATACAGGGAATCAACTTTTCCCGATTTCTAAGGCGGGTGCTTTTGTTGGGCAAAAGAATTCGGTATAAAAATAACTTATCTATTTCCGCATTGCGGCTTGCCTTATGATGTATTGTGCCTCATACGTCCGTCTGTTCGAAAAAGTTTGCCATGCCTGGCCTATATATATCCAAGATGGGTCATTTATTTGTGAACACATCTTTCAAGATCTTTGTGTTATAATGTATTTTATTAGTTTCTCTTTTCAGATAAATGGTGCCAGAGGCTAGAGTTGAATCAACAAATTAAAAACCATTCTGTAATCGTTACTTAAAATAAAAGTTGAATATAACGAACTCGACATGAATTGGAACTCCTGTTTCCAGTTCCGAGTACGCTATCCATCATTATGCCGTCGGCACATTCAACAATACAGCAACTGAAGCAGCCACCCATCTATGTATTGGACATATTTACGTTGCTTAACTGTGATTGTGCGAGAACCTGTGTTTGAACGTGACATGACCGTAAGCCCATAATTATTTGAATTACTGAGACAAGATGTTTTTTTATTCTTACAGGTCCCAACAAAGTTGGTTTAACCTATACAGCATATAGCAGAAAGATATTGTCTCTTCATATTTGACAAGGCTGAATATTGCCCGCCTTGACAAAAGGGTTTGAAAGAGTCCAAATTAATGGAATGGACAAAAAGGTTTTAAAAAAAGTCAAAATTATTGCAATCAAGCTAGTCTGTTAATCCAGTAGCAAAGAAAAAAAACTTGTGGGCCATCGTTAAAGCTAAGAAAGGAATATTCAATCAAAGTTGGGTTTTTTTTTAAGGAATAAAATATACGGTAAGGTGAAATTCGAAACAGTAAAGTTAATGAAATTAATGTATGGAAAACGGATAAAGAAAGAAAGAAAGAAAGAAAGAAAGAAAGAAAGAAAGAAAGAAAGAAAGAAAGAAGGTGTATGTTACCTGAATGAAGGCGAAAAAGAAAGAAAGAAAGTCAAATATTTTCCTGAACGAAGGAGGAGAAAGAAAATGTGTCTTGCCTAGACGAAGGAAGCTGAGAAATAAAGAAAGAAAGACTGACGGAACAGAAGAAAGAAAGTGAATGTTATCTGAACGAAGGGGAAAATGAAAAAGAAAGAAAGAAAGAAAGAAAGAGAGGTTGTTAATAAAGACAAGTGACAATATAGCATTCTATTTTAAAACAAAAGGAGAAAGAATAAAGGTGAAAAATAGAATGAATAATAAACAAAATAAATGAATAAAGGAAAAAACAAAGGAAGTTTATATTGCCTGAACGAAGATGAATGGGAAAGAAAGAAAGAAAGAAAGAAAGAAAGAAAGAAAGAAAGAAAGAAAGTGTATGTTGCTTGAACAAAGAATAATGAGAAATAAAGAAAGTAACAAAGAAAGAATGAACAAAAGAAAGAAAGTGAATATTGTGTGGACGAAGGGGAATAAGAAAGAAAGAAAGAAAGAAAGAAAGAAAGAAAGTGTATGTTCCCTGAACGAAGGAGAAAAACAAAGAAAGAAAGAAAGTCAATATTTTCCTGAACGAAGGAGAATGAGAAAAAAAGTGCGTATTGCTTAGACGAAGGAAAATGAGAAAGAAAGAAAGAAAGAAAAGAAAGAAAGTGTATGTTCCCTGAACGAAGGAGAAAAAAAAAGAAAGAAAGAAAGTCAATATTTCCCTGAACGAAGGAGAATGAGAAAAAAAAAGTGCGTATTGCTTAGACGAAGGAAAAAAATGAAAGAAAGAAAAAAGAAAGAAAATGTTCCCTGAAGATTGAAAAAAAGAAAGAAAGAAAGTCAAAAACGTGGATGTTATCTAGACGAAGGAAAATGAGAAAGAAAGAACGAAAATGGGAAAATGAGAGAATGAATGGGAAAATGAGAAAGAAAGAAAGAAAGAATGAAAGAATAAAATAAAGAACGAAAGAAAGGAAGTGTATTTTACCTGGACGATGGAGAAGAAGAAAGTATATATTGCCTGGACGAAGGAGAAAAAAGAAAGAAAAATCGAAAGAAAGAAAGAAAGTCCTTATTTTCCTGAACGAAGGAGAATGAGAAAGAAAAGAAAGAAAGAATATTTTTAATAAAGACAGCTCATTATATAGCATTCTATTTTAAAACAAAAAGAGAAATAAAGGTGACAAAATGAATGAATAATAAAGAAAAAACGAAGAAATCTTTATAAATAGAAAAGGAAACGAACGGCGTGGAGACTGCTAAGAATAAATAAGTAAGAAAAAAGAAAAAAAGAAAGAAAAAAAGAAAGAAGAAATCTGAAGAACAAAATAAAACAGAAAGTAAATACCAATCCAAAGGATAATTGTAAAAAAAAAACAACCCAAAACTATATAAATATTTAAAAAAGAAATATGAAGAAAGGCAACTTTATTAAAAGCAACCTTATTAGCGGGCAAATAAACAAAAGAAATTCAAATGTCGACCGAAATATGGGAAAATGACGTCTGACAAAGAAATTGAAAAAGATGTGAATAATGAACACCGAGATGAGGCCAAAGACCTCGCTTAATCTAGAAATCGGAAAATGTCCTAATTTTGCTAACGATTTCGTCACCAACAACGCCAACCACAGAAAAAGTGCATGCCAAAATACTACCCCACCACCATCCAATCATTGTTTCGTAAGGTAATTTGATCAATGAAATAGAATGAAATATCGGCGGTTAGTTCGTTGCTTATGAAGTGATCGAAGATAAAGAATTGGAAAGCCGACTTTATACTACGATATCTGCCAATGTTTGACTCGTTTTGCCTCAGCCATAGCCTCGGGGAGAAATGGTAAATTGCTGGCCTCTTGCGTCCCTCGGCAGTAAATTTGGACATCGTTGAATTATTGAGTTTGGGACTTGAGGATTTTTTGGGGTGTTTTTTTTTCCGTACTTGAAACCCACACGTACACACCATCACTAAAAAACATAGACACGCTGGCGAACACACATCAGCTTTCTCATAAAGTTAGTTGCTTGTGCGCAGGCGCGTGTCTCTACAAATGTGACAACCTCTCTATAAAATATGGCGAAAGGTCTTATTTATGGCGTGTCGATCTCAGCCAATCTATCAATAGATATTAATTCACTCTCATTGATATAAATATTGATTTTCTAAGCGTAGCATAGTCGAGGCACAAGTATAGAGCGTGTAGATCGAACTGACTATCCAGCCGTAATTAATATAGAGAATGGCCAAATTGATTTGCTAAGCAGAGTTTATAAAGTATGGTTCTCCATGTGAGGATCGAACTCATTTCTCATTTGTAACTATTCAGTTGAATCCATTCATATATATATATATATATATATATATATATATATATATATATATATATATATATATATATATATATATATATATATATATATATATATATATATATATATATATTGAAATTGTCTAAGTCCGACAATTATTTAACATATTTTTGTTTGTACGTTATTTATGGTCTGTTTTTTTAATTACACAATATTAATAACTTCTACCGGTCTGAATGTTCTAGAAATTTCGTAGAACATATGCGTTCCCCAATAGGAATCGAACCAGATGCTTCTCTGTTGCTAAGTGCTACAGCACGTCAGATCAAATGTAGGACACTGACTCCAGTAGACGCATCCAACTCTTTCCGAATCATCTGCTCTCTCCTCAGATCGACAGCGAATGTCCATATTGGAGTTTCTGGCCCAAGTACCACGTGATGTGTCCACATTTCTGGCGTAACAAATTGCGTTAAGGTACTCTTTTTCTGACAGACGGCGCCCAACTGACCCTTTGGCGCAGACAACAAAATCAAAAATAAACAAAATACATGCGCGAAATTATAAATATAAAATGGAAACAATTTACCCATAGTACCCTTTGCATATATATATATATATATATATATATATATATATATATATATATATATATATATATATATACAGTAGCGGCCATGCCATAATATAAGGTAAGGAAACAACAAAGACATAAATATGTGTATTACTTAAAAAGTAATGCATGATTAGCAATGAAATTTTTACCGAATAAAGATTAGGGTGTAATGCATAAATATTATACAAAGTTACAAAAATTTACATAATTTGTTACACGAATATGTTCTAAAATCTTTTCATATTATTTTTTAACATTAGTTTTACAAGGTATAATAATGTAAAAGTATCAAAATAAATAGTTGCAAATAAACGACTGACAGTCAAATTAGTCTGTTTTTTTGACTTAGTAAAATGTTTTCCAACCAAAAACAATAGTTTTCTCTATCACTATATATCTAAGTTAATAATATTGAGTAGAATCTAAACAACATCATAATAGGACTTTTAACATTAAAGACGCAACTCTTTATACCAATTCATAACTTGCATATAATCTCTAGACGCAGTTTATACCAAGATGTACTTCATCCAGTCGCATCGAACGATACAGAGTTCAAGAGGTGCATCTTTTATATATATATATATATATATATATATATATATATATATATATATATATATATATATATATGCGCGTGTGTGTGTGTCAAATAATTGTTTCAGACTATTATTTGTTAGTGGCAATGTATTTTGTTTCTGAACTTCTAGACAAAATAGGGGGTGGGGGCGATTTGGATTCACCGAGACGAACGTAGGAATGTTAGAAAGAAGTGTTTTCAGGGGAGTTAAGTTTTACGCGAAAAAAAAATGCAGACAGGTTAATTTTGTGTGCGGAGACTGCCTTCAAATTGTGGTAGTATAGAAACTCTACTGGTTAGTTAAAAACAATGTACACGTCGCCGTGTTTAATAATATTTTTTATAAATTCTTTTTATTGAAGTTCTCATTTATTAGCGAACTACAAAAAACAAAAAAAAAACAAATAGTGATCAGTCGACTGGGAGAAGACGACCGGAAGATGGCAGAGAGAGAAGAATGTAATGCGAAAACAATCCCCAGATTGAGGGAGCTATGCAACATTTCGCTGCCAAAAACATTTCGACACCTGACAAGAGGAGAGGAAGTATGTAACGTTTTTCTCCATTTGGTGCGCTGTGACCTGCTCTTTATAACAAGGAAGGTCGCAAGAGAACAAGGGTTGAAACATATCGTGTAAAAGTTCGGAGAAGATTTTCGATTGGGAGGGGGATAAAAAAAAAAGAGGAAAAAAAAGAAAGGAATATTAAAAAAAAAATGTAGTCTAGACATACTGGACAACCGGCTATTGAACTCACACACTATGGGTCCTGTCACTAGATCTAACCTACGCCTTTATCCACTGTGACATGTTTCCTTGAGTGTGAGTTCAATACCCGGTTAATGTAGTGGAGAACTTGAAGAGGGGAATTAACAGGAGATAACTGATAATTGACATCTATTAAACATGTCAATTGTAACTAGAATAGTCTAACCCTGTGAGCGAAATAAAGTGTTCAGTTTGACATTCCAACCACCTGAAGAAGCCCGGAGCGTACAACGGCCGAAACGTTGTAATAAATATGGCGACAAAGATGAGGACATAATACATAATACCTCATCTCAGAAATATAGACAGATATTTTTTCGTGGAAGAATATTTTCGCTGAGACTTTCTGAGGCTGACCTTTAAGGGCAAATGGTAGACAAAATTGCGATGTCGATTTTGATTGGCTGAGCCGAACGGTGGAATGTTAGAGAGATAAAATGGTATTTCGTGGAATAAGTGTTACACATCGAAGAATGCAGACGTGTTAATTTCGTGGGCGGTAACTGCTCCATAATGGGACGGGATAGCAACCAAACTGACTAGTTAAACAATGTAGACGTCGACCTGTTTAATAAAATAGATAAGTTTTAAAATTCTATTTGTTGAAATTCTCATTTTACCTCCGAACAAACCCG